AAAAATAATTCAGTGACGGCAGCTAAAGTGTGTGTTTGTTAAAATTCAGCAACGTTATGTGTGATGAGGGAGAGCAGGAGAGGACTGATGGGAGGTTGAAGCAGATCAGACTGTCTGTCCAACTGATCAACTGTCTGTTTGTTTTCTGAGCTGAAGAGGAACAAAAATGATTTAAGGTTTTTTTTTCTCCTGTAGTTATGTGTGTCAGTGTGATGTAAAATCTTCCACCAATACAGCAGGAAAACACAAAATGTTCAAGAGCATTTTTAGATTTAGTGGCTCAGCGTTGATGTAGCTAACAAGCTAACGAAGGAGCCAACAAGCTAACAAAGGAGCCAACAAGCTAACGAAGGAGCTAACAAGCTAACGAAGGAGCCAACAAGTTAGCTAGCGTCGGCTCACGATAAACGTCAGAGAACTGTAGACGTGTGACAAAGCGTGCGTACGCACAAAAACTTGGCGTACGCACTTATCCACGCTAATGTTCAGATGTATCAAGAGTGAAGTGATCGTGGAAATGTGCGGTTCTATTGCTTTTGAGCCGTTGGCGACACTTAGTGGTGATGCTGGGAATATAAAAATGTAAAAAACAATGTAAAAAAAAGGTCATTCCTCAAAGTGATATGCACATCAGAGACACTGAGATGAACAATTGACACACCCAGGTGTTTGCAATCAGATGAGCGGATATAGAAGGTTACTTAAAATGGTGCAGAAGATACCGTTAACAACAATGGCAGCTTTGGACCTGTTGGAGGATATTGCCAATGGAGCAGTGCCAAGAGAACGGGTTTCCAGAGACCTCAGGACGACGACTGGATCATCAGCCGCTTTATGTTCCCGAGGGCAATTCGCTTAGAACTGTGCGCGGAGCTGCGGCCATTACTGGAACGCAACGCGGCCAGGAGCCATGTCCTACCTGTGCCCATACAGGTGCTGACCCACTGGGCTTCCTCGCTACAGGGTCATTTCAGAGGGAGCTGGCCGACCGACCGGGACTGTGCCAGTCGACAGTGAGCAGAGCCATGTGTTGGGTGGAACTATCCGAATGTCAGCCAGATATATCAAATTCCCACAGTGCAGTTGAACAGGACGACATAAACGTGCAATTTGTAGCGACAGTCGGTTTTCCTGCTGTAATCGGAGCTGTCGACTGCACACACATTGCTATAGAGGCACCATCACAAGATGGATGTGTTTATGTGAACAGGAAGCATTTTTATTCAATCAGTGCACACCACAATAGCAGCGACTCTCCGCTCAAACAGGGTGAGTTCATCCTGGTTACTGTTATCTGATCTTGCAGAGAGGGGAATCCCACCTGTTGGCCCTGTTTATGCTAATTTGCATATTTAAATTGGGGGCGTGGAGAGGGAGGAGTCTGGTACTCCCAACATGTGCGGTCAATTCCACGCTGAGTGGGATGTACAAAGGAAATGTGCTTGGATTCGGGTGTACGCTCATTTTCGTTCATCTGGATTTTTTTTGTGCGTACGCAGTTTTAAGGATTGAAGCGTATGCCAGGTTTCAGTATGAAATCCACGCAAGTCTTTGTACATGAGGCCACAGCTGCTGCAGGATGAAGTGCAGAGCCATGTTTACTGCATCATATACAGACTGGTTGGCTCTGTAGGTGATCCCTCATTTTTAATTTTTTTTTTTATGAACAGACAAATGTAACTCTATAAACTACAGGCCAGATGACATGAACTGAGCTGATCAGTTTGTTCATCAATAATAAATATGAAGTTGAACCACAGATATGATTAGATTAACTTGACTTGAGCACACTGTGTCTGTGCCATCATAAACATATATTATACTGAAATGATCAATAAATAAATCAATTAGCTGATCAACAGAGAATCAGTGGACAAACATTTTCACTCAGTTCATCGTTTTAATTCTTTTATCAAACAAACTTTCAAACATTTGCTGGATCCTGTTTGTCAGATATGAACATTTTCTGCTTTTCTCTGTTTAACATGAATCTAAATTAAATAATGTTCAGTGTTGGTTGGACAAAAAAAGGTAATAATTACAAGATTTCACCTCAGACTCTGGGAGCTTAAAAAGCATTTTTTTTCCCACTATTTATTGTCATTTTACAGTAAAAGCAATAAATTGATTAATTCCAAAATACTCATTACATAATCAGTAATGACACTAATCATTGGCTGCAGCCCTGAATATGTAGTAAAATACAGATTAAATTAGATGAACTCTTGTTTCCTGATTCACAGTGAATTTATAACTGATATATGTTGAACATTTACAGATTAGTTTAAATTTACTGGACCACAGATAATTCTGTTAATTGATTAGTTGATCAATGGAAACGTAATTCACAACAGCTTTGATGAGAAATAATTATCTTTTAAGTCTTTATCAAATAAAATCACAGACATTTTCTGATTCCTTTTGTCTGGTCGGAGGATTTTCTGCATTTTCTTTTTTTAATATTTAACAGTTAATTATTGATGCAACTATAATAAAAGAAATAAACAAATTAATGATGAAAATAATAATTAGTTTTCACCTGTAATATGTAGTAGGGTTACAGATTAGATCAGGACACACAGACCGTCTCCCAGTCTCCATACTGGTGCTGCTGGTCTCTGGTTTATTGTGACCAGTTGCAGTAACACTGGTGAACTGGACTCTCTGTTCTGGCTGAGCAGGTGCAGTCTGCTGACTAATGGCTCTGAAAGTGTCCTTCAGTGGAAGCTTGTAGAAAAACCTGAGGACAGTCTGGTGTGTAGTTCCTCACAGGACCAGGATGTTGTGGGACCGATGGAGTGTGTGCAGAGTTTCAGAGGATGTGATGTTAAATCCAGGATGAGCTTTAATGTGTGTCTGCTGCTCAGCAGTGGTGATTCTAGGTTTTATTTTTAGGGGGGGCAATAGGGGGCCAATGCTATATTTTAGGGGGCACCCAATTACTGCGTTATTTGTAGATGTAGCCTATAGCAATTTCTAGAGAAGTGTTCTTTAGTTGTACTCAATTTGTATGACTAAATATAGGCCTAACCTGATTAAATAGATCTGACAAAACAAACATGATCTGGAAAAGGTTTCTGGTAGGAACGTACTTGTAAGGCATGTACAATAATTGCTTCTTTCAAAAGCAACTCATGACACTCAAACTGATTCACAGCGTGAAGACTAATGTTAAAATAACAGCCTGATGGCTCAAGGTAAATTAAAATGATACATACATGTAAATACACACATTAACACAATGCTCTCCTCTTTTATATTAACAGTGTTGTTATTAATTTGATTTGCTCTGAGAAATGTCTGTCTGTCTCCTCTTTCTGACATTTCTGAGCTCTGCTGCTGCTGGAACAGAGACTAAATGACACCATTCAGTTGGAACTCAAACTTGGGATTGGGAATGTCCTGGCTGCTCCCAAAAATCTCTATGCAAAGTGTCTTCATTTAACGCTAGCACATTTTCCTTGTTTCAAAGTAAAAAAGAAGAAAAAAACACACTGTAGCAAGATTTCGTGTCACATAATCATTAATGCAGGAACCCCTTGATGGTTATTTACCATCGAGTTGGCCCGTTTCATCAGCTTCTCTACCGAATAACATCAACTTTTTGTCATCAAAATGTTAAATGATGAACTAAAGATAATGGCTAAATCTAAGTTAAGATAAAACATATCAGTAACTCGTTTGTGTTCAACTTACCGCATGTTTGAATTTGACACTCACGTCTCAGTGTGTCCATAAGTGCAGAGTGGATGTGAGAGAAGAGGTGTGCTTGTTTTATTTTCCAGCCGCTCCCGTCACAAACACTACCACAATACTCTGTTCACCCCGCCCCCATAAAGGTGTGCTGTAACAACCAGCTAGCGCTCCTCAAAGAAACTACCCAATGACAAGACAGTATTTCACAGGGGGGCCGAGGGGGGCCAATCAGATTCCAGCAGGGGCCATGGCCCCTGTGGCCCGTGCCCTCCATTCGCCTATGCTGCTCAGGACTCCACCTCAGTGTGTGAGTGTGTTCCTGCAGCTCACATCAAGTTACAGCTCCTTCAGCAGTGGACACACACTGTGTGTTAGT